CAAAAAAATATGGTCCTACTACATGGTTACCGACGATACCTCCCCACACATTTAGAGAGCATCTTGTTTGACTATGTGTTACCATGTGGTATAGATTACTTGTTAAGTAGTAGTGAAAGTTATGCCTATTAAAAGAACCGTTTCGATGGAATGTAGCTTCATCACCAAATAGGACATAATCAAAAAAATCTCTCTGCTCATTAATTTTTTCTAAGGCCCATTCACAAAATACTATTCGTTTCTGAAAATCATCATTAATTAATTCTTGGTGCTTTTGAATATGATAAGGGTGCATCTTGTTTTTAGATAGAATGTTTTGAACAGAGTAGTAACTAAGTTCTTGTTCATTGGAAATAATCCTTATGCTTGTGTGTGGGTTTTCTGTAACCGCCATCAACACACTCATTTCGTTTTTCTCTGTCACACTAGTTTTTGTTCGTTCATGTTTTTCATAATTCACTGAACCAGTGCGGTTAAATCGATCTTTCAATTTTTCAAATGTATCTTGTCTAGGTTGTCGCCTATCTGGAAACCGTTCTTGATAAATTCTAGCTGATAGTAATGAATTTTTATTGCATTCCCCCAATATCCAGATCATATCTACCATTTCATCAGTAGTAAAATTCATTATTGCTAATTTAAATTGAATTAATTACTGAATTACTAAATAATAATTGTTGCTAATTTACGGTATACCCCAATACTGAATTAATAAATATTAATGTCAAACTGTCAGTTTCTGACAAATCAATCATGGCAAACTCACAATAATTATTGGTAAACGTTAAAATATCTACCAAATTAATACTTTGATGGAAAAATAAAAATATCTTTAAAACCAATAACTTTAGGTATAGGGAGTACTTTATAAAATATGAAGTACGATATTGGTCCTTTTCGATAGTGATATAAAATACAGGGTGTTCTATTTAAAATTACCAAGAAAATAATGTACTTGCATTTTGACTTACCCTGTATTTGATTTAACGAATATTATAAAAATGAATATGTTTTATAGTTTTTAACAATTATTAAAAAACTATGGTTGCAATAGATCAATGTGCCTACAATTCTTTTTAATTATACAGGGAGTTAAACTTGATACGATTTTCAGGTAATATTGGTTATAAATTTTTAAATACCCGGTATAACATAATAAAACTTTACACTGTTGTAATGTGGAAGTGAAGCAGATTTCAAATTTAAAATAAAATACAGGGTGTTCTTTTTAAAAAAACATGAGTTTGGTCTGCCACCATCTTATGGAACACCCTGTAAGATTGTAACTAATTTTAAAATGTGGAGTTTAAAGCTGCCTACAATTTTTGTTAATAACTTTTTTTTGTAATTTTTACTATAACATATCTACTGAGCTTCCTCACACTAATCAATCACCCTGTAGAATTGTCTGTTTTTAACTGTGCCGTTTGATGCCAGTACAAGTTTTCAATGCATCTTATGTCTTTTTGGTCTATATAAACTTTTTGGTCTTGAGAATATCTGCATTAACTTGTGGTGTTGGACACGATCAAACGCTTTTTGGTAATCTAAAAAGCATAGGAACACATCCTTCCTCTGATCGTAACAATTTTCGACCAGCACCTATGTTGCTGTATACTCCAGCAGTCTTCTTAAGATTTTTATGTAAATTACGGTCGTCGTGTTGTCGTTGTAAATGTTCTAGATCGATACATTGTTGCTTAAGCCATTCATTCTTTGCTATTCTTATTTTTGCTTTTATTTGCCTGTTAATGTTTTCATACATTTTGCTGCCATCTTGATCATTCTTGTGTCTTCGTCGTTCTTCTATTAGTAATAGTATTTCTTCTGTCATCCATTTTTGCCTCTTGTTATTTCGTTTGTACCCTAAGTTGTTTTTCATGATGTCTGTTACAGCACTTGTAATCGTATTCCATGTTGGTGTTAGATCTTCGGTAATGTTTGTCGTCAATATTTGAATTTGTGCGTTTGTTTCATTGCTTATTTCTGCTTGTATCACTGGGTGTTTTAGTTTATCCAGTGCTATCTGTTGTTGAGTTTCAGGCTTGTTCTTGCATGAAAGAGCGATCTTTATGACGGCCACTAATAGTACGTGGTCGGAAGGGACATCTGCTCCAGGGTATGTGCAAGCTCTTTTGACAGTTGTGCTAAATCTACCGTTTATAAGAATGAAGTCTATCGCTTCCACATCACAAAAATGTAAAGTTTTATTATGTTATACCAGGTATTTAAAAAGTTATAACCATTAATACCTAAAAATGGTATCAAGTTTAACTCCCTGTATAATTAAAAAAGAGTATAGGAACCTTGGTCTATTGCAACAATAGTATTTAGTAATTGTTAAAAATTTTAAAACATATTCCTTTTCATAATATCAAATACAGGGTAAGTCAAAATGCAAGTACATTATTTTCTTGGTAATTTTCAATAGAACACCCTGTATTTTATATCACTATCGAAAAGTACTAATATCGTACTTCAAATTTTATAAAGTACTCTCTATACCTAAATTTATTAGTTTGCTAGATATTTTATTTTTCCATCAAAGTATTAATTTGGTAGATACTCGTATTTTAACGTTTACCAATAATTATTGTGAATTGGGCATGATTGATTTGTCAGAAACTGACAGTTTCATTCAAAAAACAAGTTTGGTTTGCCATCATCCTATGGAATACCTTGTAATATTGTAACTAATTTTAAAATGTAGAGTTTAAAGCTACCTACAATTTTTGTTAATGACTTTTTTTTGTAATTTTTACTATAAGAGATCTACTGAGCTTCCTCAAACTAATCAATAGAATTTTAAGGAATTTCCAAATAAAAACCAATAAATTACATTTGCTTTTAATACATCGATTTTACATTCATTATGTCAAATTACCAAATCTTATACGGGCTTTACACCAACAATAAATTCATGAAGAAATTCGTGAAGTCGCTTCAAGGTCAAATTTGACCTGTGTAAAGCACAATTTGACATCCAATTTTGCCGTGAATAAATTCATGAATAACTTCGTGAAGAAATTGACGAAATAGAACATGTTCTATTTTTCCCATTTATTGGACGTGAACTCAGTATCACCAACCTGTGTAGATTTGGCGCAAAGTAAGGATAATGATTATTTTGTTTTTGATTATTGAACCAAATTGAACTTTGCATTTTTAAGTCCTGTGTCAAGTAATAATTATGGAAAAGAGGTAAGATTATTATTTTATAATAAAAGACAGAAAATAATATTATGTATTTTTTTTAGGAAAAACATAAAATTTCGAAGAGAAAACTAGTTTTTATTAAAATATTGTTTACTTTTCCCTATCTTACATGTTTTTTCAAATATTATTTATTTAATATGCTTTGAGAATATATAGTAAATATTTGTTAATAAAAGATTATATAATTCTACCTTTTTCTTCACTCTTATCTTTTACTTGGTCTAGTCATCAGGTAAATGTTTTTATTATCTTGAAAGTTTAAAAATGGATTAATCAAAGTGTTTCAAGAGATATGGATGCTATTGATTTCTGAAACAGGAAAGGATGGTTTTCTTTGAAATGCCAAGTATTATAAAATTGTAAAATGAAAAGTATGGAGTGATATAGTACCTAAGCTGTCACATTCTGCTCATGATTCTCAAAAACAGCAACTTAAAAAAAAAAGAATTTAGAGATTTTAAATTCTGATAATTTTTGGTGATACTCCCTGGATATATTTTCTTTTTGAACCAGGTATGGATAATATTGTATTATTGATAGGATTGTTAAATTAACTTTGTGTTGAGTCCACTCATCTATTTTTTTGAAGCAGAGGTATGAATATTTCTATATTATTGATTAGATTTTAAATTCAGATTCAGACTGTCCACTAAAACAATTCACTAAGACATCCTGAAATTTTGTGCAATGAATTCCAGATATGTATGGGAGAAGAAAGTTTCCAATTTTAGCCAATGAAAGTGGCTGTATAGTTGAAATGATTCAATTGAAAAATCAAAGCGGAGACAATTTTGAAGATGAGTTGCTAAATAAAGACATTATTGAACTTCCTTAAGTTGAAGGTGTTTGAGAACCTATAAAATATTTTTGTGTTATGGGAAAACCTCGGAAGAATCATTAATATACATAGAACTTTTTTTATTTTTTATTAAATTTTTCTTGGTATAATTTAATTTTTAAACCTAATAAATCTATTTCTTTTCAATGCATATCTTCGCCAATTCCATTTCTCTGACATGTTTCTGTTGTGCTCTTTTTCTACATGAGGCCGTTGACCTGCTACTAATTTTGTTCTTTCTTATTCATTGTTCTTATTCTTATACTTTATTATTCATAGTTTTCTTCTTAAATTGACTATCTTCCTTTAAAAGTGCAGGATTCCATACCCTACGGATAAAACCTGTACAGTTTTTATTTAGAAAAAAATCATAGTTGTTTGTGTATAACAAATATTAAAACTAGCTTTTATTCCTGTTATGATTCTTCATTTATTATTTAAATTATATAATATTTAAAAATTACTGTATTTTTATACACCGATTTAGTTTAGTCCTAACCTACCCTACTATTCAATAAAGCAAATTGTAATATGTTAAAGTCAAATCATTAAAATTGTAAAGAATCAGCTCAGAAAGTAGTGGTAAAGTATTACTGGTTATTTCCATGTTTTATTTATTTTAAGTATTCATTTCTTTACAATATCTCTTTGTGATTAGAATTGTACACATCTCAATATTCTAACAATAAACATAGCTATTTATTTATATTAGGTAAATATCTCTTGAGAATATATTATGAATAGTGGTTAAAAGATTATAAAAAGTATTGTAGCTTTCTCTCTTCTTTACTTCTACTTGGTTGAGGCAGGTATTGTATTTAAATAAAGGCTGTCATCATTCTAAAAGTCACAATGAATTGATTAACATTTATACTAACTACAGTTAATTTTTAGTATGTAATGAATACTAGATTTTCTTGTTTTTTCATATAAAAAAATCAAATTACCACTTTTTCTGTTTCTTTAGCTATGTTTTCCTTATTAAAGTTATTTGAAATTATCTTCTATGTCTAAAATAAAAAGTTTTCACTAATTATAATGTAATTTCAACTTATTTTTACCTCTTGTTCAAGCTCTTTACCAAATTCAGCATAATTTTTTGTACAATCTTAATCACTATTTTCTTTTTAAAACGATATTGTTTTCTGATTCTATTTCCAAATACAAATATATTTATATTTATTCAAATAAACAACAATAAATAACATCCAATAATAAAACCATTGGTACTACTGAAATAATGACACTTGATGTAAAAATTTATTTGAAGTCAAAGAAACTTTTATGTCCAAGAAATTCACGAATTTATTGACACAGAAATTGATGAATAAATTCATGAATTTCTTCGTGAATTTATTGTTGGTGTAAAGCCCGTATTAGCGGTCTGCAAGGGGTTTATGGTCTATACCTGCCACAAGGTGGAGGTAGGCCAGTGATGAGAATACCAATCTCTCGGGGTCTACTTGACAATCCTTACTTTTATGGCGGTGATGAGTTTGTACTATGTACGAGGGTATATTATGGTATTTGGTGATGAGTTTACGTATACCCGGATTATAATGCTTCAAAACTGCATAAGTTATCGTATTTTCTTTTTAATTCTTTAATTACTTAATATTAAATAGATCGTTTAATTTAGTATTAAATTAGTTTTAATTTTCATAGTGATCACTAATAACAAATCTATTAATTTTTTTGGTTTTAGTAAAGCATCCTATTAAGCTGCTGCAGTTTAATCAAGTTAATATATAATTATCATTAGAGCCTTAGTAGCGAAAATATCATTATGTTTTTAATTTTAGTCGGATTAGGGACTATAAAGCTAACACTGTAATAAAAAAGTTAATTGCTTCTGCTATCCCGCAGTTTTAACGAAATAGGTAACATACCCGCTCAAGAGCGCATAGAGAAAGATTTCTTTTAGGGAACGCTTTTTAAAAGTTACCTTAAATGACATTTTTAATAAAAGCTTGACAAAATTGACTACAACTACTACTCCTTTTAAAATTTTACCGAAGTTTAAAATGAGTTTATAATAATTTATAAAATGTTAAGAAAGAAAACAAAATATTATTGACAAAGAAAGTATGGTATATATCACGAATTCACAACACTCGATATTCAACGGTCCACTCCATTGTACAGCATAAGAAGTACGAAAGTAAATTGCTTCAATAGTAAACTTTTTTTTAATTTCCATTTATTAACAATCTTTATTAATATCACAATAAGTAAATTGTGTAATTATTTTGCATGACAAGTTCTAATTTTAGCAAAAATTATTTATTTTATTAAAAATTATTTTAACAAAAGTAAATTCAAAATACAGTAATAAAATTATAGTGTAAAATTATAAACAAATCTAATCGTATAAATAAAGGTGGCGAATACACTGGATTGGGATTCTTGGTAAAATAAAGCCTCACGCAGTGTATCGAAGAATTCAAGCCCATATCAGACAGAGTAGCATATCTCATTATCAGGATTAAGGCCGTTCCTTGCGTTTCTGGGCATACCTAAGTTCCAATGTAAAAGTTTATATCAAATAACGCAAAAACTATGGCAGATATTGAGATGATTCTTTTTTTATATGAAAGGTCTTAAAAAGTTCTAGTGTACTATTTGGTTGTAAATTAATAAATTGTTTAAACAATATTTTTTTTTCAAATATTTTTGGTTAAAATAAACGTAAAAAATTTTTTTTTTGAAATAGGGCACTACAGAATTTGACCCACTTTCCGAATCTGTTTTTATTTTTAACATAAAGTGTAACACAAAGCAGCTATTTGGTATAAACTTTTTTTAAAATCTCAAATTTTGCTAAATGTAACTTTCCCTCTCGGCCAGTACAGGCTGTCCTTGTCGATAGTTTCTGGATTCTCGTCGACACGGTTAGGTAGGTTAGGTAAGAAGTATAATACCCTCTCGAAGGTGGGTCATAAATAATGTTGAATAACATTATTAGGGTTTATTTCGACTTTTGACAAACCAATTTGTATTTCAATCAGAATTATTATTTTCTTTTCTTCTTTACATAAAAGCTTAGAGTAATACTCAAATATTTTGCAATATTTGAATACGGAATTTGATTATTTATATTTATTGGACAATACCCAAATATTTTGCTGTATTTGAATATGGAATTTGATTATTTATTTTTATAGGAATATTTATTTTCAACGTTTTTGTTAGTAAAGTTTACATAATATATGAAGTTTGTTTCTTCACTTGCTTGTCCAGCCATATTAGTCCAGGCTAATAAGGATTTTCTCGTGACACTCAATAATCCAGGTAGCTGACAACTTTTTTAGTTATTGTAGACCTATAAGAAGAAAACCTACCTGTTTCCTGCGTAGAGTTCGGAGCCGTTTTTTAATGATTAACAATTAATGCAAAAAACGCGATTCTTTCGATTTTTGCACTCTATTATTTATTTATTTATTTTTACGCACAATAGGCCGTTAAGGCCTAAAGCATTTTTTTACAACATAATTCTAATATTAACTAATTACAATTATTTTAAACAAAACTTTAACGTAAATATGTATATATAACATTCTTAACTACTCTGAAGGACCTGGTGTACAATATTTTTCCATTCGCTTCTATTTTGTGCTTTTTTTTCCATTCCCTCACCTTCACGTGTTTAAGTTCTTCCTCCGCTTTACTAATCCACCTCGTTCTGGGTCTACCTCTTCTTTTGGGTTCGACTAATTTTCTGGTTATTACTAGTTTAGGAATTCTGTTTGCTGCCATTCTTCCCACATGTCCCAACCATCTGATTCTTTGTGCCTTGACGAACTTGGTAATAGTAGGTTCTTTGTATAAAGCCATTAATTCATTGTTGGTTCTTCTTTCCCAACCATCTTCTGCCTTTCGTCCTCTGAATATGCATCTCAATATTTTCCTTTCCCATCTTTCCAGAGTATCCTCTTCCTTCTTATTTAATGTCCAGGCTCACCGGCATATGTTACTGTGGGTCGAATTACTGTTTTATATATTCTGAGTTTACCTTGTCTAGAAACGTATTTTGAGTTCAGTAGGGCTCTTAAACCACCTAATTTTTTATTCCCTTTTGCTATTCTGGCTACGAGCTCCCATTTATCTTTTCCATTTTCATCGAAAACTACACCTAGGTATTCAAATTTGTCCACCCTTTTAAAACTATAGCTTTTACCACTTACTGACCTCATACTAAAGTCTTCTTTTTTCCCTTCTGTTCCTTCTATGATCATATATTTAGTTTTGTCTTCATTTAGTTCCAATCCAAATTTCTGTGCTTCTTCGATGATTTTGTTCACAACTCTTCTTAATTCTTACTCGGTTTTTGCTAGGATCGTTAGAGCATCAGCAAATGCCAAGCACTGGTGCTCATTTTTCATGATCGTTTCTTCCATCTTCATGCTGCATTTTCTGATTACAGTTTCTAATACTAATTTGAATAATGTAGTGGATAAAGGATCTCCCGGTCTCAAGCCTTTTGCAACCGTAAATTGATCTGATATATGACCCTGCCAAGCAGGGTGCTAACAGGTGAAGATGCTAACAGAGTAATGCCTCTCTAGTTCTTACAATCCAGTTAATCGTCCTTTTTATGCAACGTATATTATTTCATTTAGCCACTCTTCTGGAACAAATTCATTTTGCCATATAAGTACTATTAGTTTATGGGTTACTGCAAAAAGCTGATCATCACCTTTTTTTTATATATTTTCCAACAGATTTAATCGATTCCTGTGGCTTTATTGTCTTTGAGTTTTAGGACGGCATTTGACACTTCTATTATTGTTGGGTGTTCACTGTGTAGTTGTCGATGTAGATTTTGTTGATTGTCTATGTTGTAACCTCTTTCAATATCGTTTATATCATATATTATATAAATATATATATATATATATATATATATATATATATATATATATATAATAATATATATATGTATATATATATATATAATATGATATAATAATAATGTACTTATTCTTCTTCTTCAAGTTCCACTCCTATCGGAGATTGGAAATCATTCTGGCAATTATCATTTTGTTGGATATGCGCCTGAATAGTTCAGTTAAATTGCATCCAAACCATTCACGGAGATTACGTAACCACTAGATTTTACGTCTTGATGTGTGATGTATGATGTGCCCCAAGTATTTTAATTTCCTGATTTTTATTTAATTTAAAACTTCGCATTGTTTTCCTAGTTGTTCGAGAATTTGTTCGGTTGTTTTGCGATCCGTGACCAAGCTTGAATCCCATATAAAAGGGTAAAGAAAATATAACATCAAAGCATTCTTATCCGGAGCGATATATTGATATCTCGATTACAAAAAAGTTTTCTCGTTCTATTAAAAGTTGACCGTGCAATTCCAATGCGGCATCTTATTTCTTTTGTCTAATCAGTATCTTCTGTGATCCATGCTCCAAGGTATTTGTACAAAGATATTTGTTCAATTTCTGTATTATCTAGTACTAGCTTAACTTTGATGCTTTGTGCTTTTGTAAATACCATGAACTTGGTTTTCTTCAAATTTATTTTTAGTCCAAAAAATGTACCTATAATATGATATAATCCTTATAAAATGTCTTCCGACGTTCATTTTTCATTCAATTCGGTTGTTCCATTGTTCTTTAAGTTCTTTCGAGCTCATTAAGTTTCTTATTCCTTCCATCCGTGTTTTCTAAGGTAATAATCTCTTCTGGATTACGGTAGGTGTTCATACAGGTACTTGTTTTAGGAGTCTCTTGTCTTTCATTTATTGGACCTGTACCCATTTGAGCTGCTTTCGTTGTATGCCATCCATGACTGTACCTTCTATTCTCATACTTTATTGCATTAAGTTCGACGAGATATCTTTCTTCGATATTAATCTGTCTCTGTTAATCGTCGTGTTTCACAACCGTATAAATAAAGCATGCTTTTTACCACAGTTTCATGGCTTGTAGTACTAGAGAGAGCATGTCAGCTAAGCCAAAACGAAAAATAATCCTCCTTATTGCTTCCACTGGA